TTGTCACTGTTTCTTCCTCCACAAGACATGGCTACGATAGCGCAACATTCAGATGTGCTCGCAACGGCCATTTTGGACGACATCCTACTGGTGAGGTTTTATGACTAGTGGCAGTAAGCTGAAAGGTGCTTCAATAGTGCTGACCATGACAATATACAGGACACGGTGCAGTTGCTTAACGAGGACGACAGACAACAGTCTTACCACCGGCTAGAAGCTCACCACGCCGATCAACTTGACGATATATTGGCTCGCATTCACGAGATCAAACGAGAGGAGGACAGCATGATTCATCAAGGACTGGCACTTGGCTATCAAACCCAAGGTGTAAAATGCAATCTTCCGACTGCGTCACGTCACGGCATTATTAACCAGAAGTCAGCGAAGCACGAAAGCGTAAACCTATCGAACTTGACGCTCCCGCTTGAAGTGGTGATGAATATCAACGTATCTGACGGAGACGGAAATCCGTCGCCGTCTGGACGCGTTGCCGAAATTTCTGATTGGAGCATGGCTTTCAACAACGATGAATTTGATTTCATTGAGCTCAAGGCTCCAGCGCAACAAACGTTGTTTGCAGAAACGACGGTGGGAACTTCAATCCTACAAGGTAAACGTCTCCAGTCCATCGAGCGGAAAAGACACAAGTTTCAACACCACCGCCGTCTTGTGGAATCGTCCCTCGCTGAGACTGGAATGACGCAATATGCAGTCATTGAAATGTGCGTACAGCTTGAATTGCAAATTAATTGCGATGACTAATGTCTGATTGTTTGTGTTTTACAGACTGGAGGAAATGCTGCTGGGCGATCTGATCGAGGAGACCACAACAGAACTCAACAACACCCTTATCTCTCTGTCGGACACATTGCTGACCAATTTGCTGTGATTAAAGCTTGTACAAAATAATGCCAGCCTCATACTGCTAATCTATATTACTTCAGAGATTATCTTTTGTCGCTGTTCTGTTCTCACTGGAACCTCTTGCCATCGGACCTCCTCCTCGTATGCCTTCTGCTGCTGTTGCTGGCGATGATAAATGATCACATCGTCGACCATATCTTCAATACACAAAAGTACTTCATGTGCAACTTGCTGATCGAGTAGAATATCATTCCTCAGTTGTGTGTGTATGTCTTCCAAAAAGACTGCTTCATTTACGCTTCTCTCTTGATAATTGCCAACGTCTAGCAGTCGAGAGTGCTTGCGTCTCTTACATTTGATGATACACTTTCGTAAAAACATTAGCAGGGTCCTGCTTGCCTCCTCCTGGATGCAGCTTCGAGCACGATGACACTCAAAAATGAATATCCCGCGGTTCGCAAGCTGTAACATGGGAAAGTCGTCTGGATCTGGCAAGCTTTTCCATTTCCAAGCGAAATCCATTGGGGTAACCCATCCATGAACAAATAAGGCTTCTATCAGCGATGAAGTTATGTGGTCGAGAGAGCCCGCTGTCGATCGCTGATGAAGCACTTGTCCAATCCATTTTGCCATTGTCAACTCGAACCAGTACCAAAGTCCGCCAGTCTTGCTGTCTGCGCTTCGCTTTGCGCGCTTCCGGTATAAATTCCAGTATAGCAATGCGTGACTCGCACCGTGGTCTTGTATCTCATTGAAGGCATGAATACTCTCTGCATTTGCGTTTAGGTACTGGAAGTTTGTAAACCTAGATCATATACAACAATTCGTAATTCGAGTCAGTATCAGTGGCAACCACCTAAGAGCTCAAGGCCACGTACCCGTAGTTGCCTAGCATGAGGGTCAGATCGCTGCGCTCAGTCATGCTCAGCGGTATTCCGGTGACTCGTGCCACCAATTCATCCAACGCCTGAACGGAAATCCCATCCGTTCGTGTGGGGTTTAGTCGTAGCATTTTGGGTTGAATGTCAATGTGACGAAGTCGAGCAAATGCATGAAGTCGATGCAGCACAGATGCTAAGCCACCTTGCCATTCATGAGAGACATCCAGAAGATGCGGAGTAGACGACGATAGTGCTAAACCATTGCGGTGGCTAATAGTATGGTCTTCTGGCAAATTTGGCACACCAAGTTTTCCTGAAATCACATTCTGAGATTCCAGAATTTGCGTCGTGAACACACGTGCCTTTGTTGCGTCCTTGTAAGCTCGCAAATTCTTGGAGTACTGGATTTGGTCAATTTCCTTGAGTATCTTGGTAATTTCCTCTGCAATATCTATTGGACATGCTTTCAAAGCGAGTTTCAGCTGTCGAGTAGCCTCCACGAAATCTTGCAAGCGAGCTGTAGCAAGGCCTAAGTTGTATCGAGCTTTCCAGTTGAAATAATCCAGACGTAAACAGTTGCGATAAGCTTTTGCCGCTTCTTCAAGGTGGTCGAATGCAAGATAAATAGATCCAGTATCAAGGTACATCGTTGCAAGGTTACAACCGCGTGGGTCAAGCCAAATGATCTCCAGAAGCAAATACAAAGCA